TCCGTGTCTGTGTGTGTGTGTGTGTGTGTGTGTGTGTCTGTGTGTGTGTGTGTGTGTGTGTGTCTGTGTGTGTGTGTGTGTGTGTGTGTCTGTGTGTGTGTGTGTGTGTGTGTGTCTGTGTGTGTGTGTGTGTGTGTGTGTGTGTCTGTGTGTGTGTGTGTGTGTGTCTGTGTGTGTGTACTGTAGTTCCCGTTTGGAGTGGTGCAAATGTGGCAGGAGTCAGTCTGCAGAAACTCAATCCAGATATCGGCAAAGACACGGACAAAGAGAACTGGAAAGAAACACACAAAAAGGTCGTGGACAGGTACGTCAACTGGTTACTCTTTTAGTTCCTATTCCTCGTTAAAGGACAGTTAACCCAAAATGAAAATGATGCAGTTTACCACCAGCAATTTATTAAACAGTTTGTGAATGAGTATGGAACAAATAAACATTTGAAACAATATGCTACATTGACACATTACTTTACTATGTGTGACCCTGGAGCACAAAAGCAGTCTTAAGTCGCTGGGGTATATTTGTAGCAATAGCCAAAAATACATTGTATGGGTCAAAATTCTTGATTAATTCAGTGTGGTGTCTAGTTATCATCTCACAAATAAACAGTTTAGAATTCTGTTTCGTCTATTCAATTTTGAGCTATTCTGCCAGAAATACTAGCATGACTGTGTTCACTGCAGCGCCTATGAGGTGATCCGACTGAAAGGCTACACGAACTGGGCCATCGGGCTCAGTGTGGCCGACCTGACGGAGAGTCTCATGAAGAACCTCAACCGAGTCCATCCCGTTTCCACCATGGTGAAGGTCAGTAGGATAATTCTACACTACTGCTCAAAAGTTTGGGGTCAGTTACTTTTTTTTCTTTAGCTAATTAATACTTTTGTTGCATTAAGTTGCTCAAAAGTGACAGTAAAGACATTTAGAATGTTACAAAAGATTTCTATTTCAAATAAATGCTGTTCTTTTCAACATTCTATTCATCAAAGAATCCTGAAAAAAAAACATGAAGCAACACGACAATGTTTTCAACATTGATAATAATCAGAAGTGTTTCTTGAGCAGCAAATCAGCATATTAGAGTGATTTCTGAAGATCATGTGACACTGAAGACTGGAGTAATGATGCTGAAAATACAGCTTTGATCACAGAAATAAATTACAGTTTAAAATATATTCAAATAGAAAACAGTTATTTTATTTTATTATTATTATTACTGTTTTAACCTTATTTTCTGATCAAATAAATGCATCATTGGTGAGCACAGGATACTTTTTCAAAAACATAAAAAAATATATATATGTACATTTAAAAAATGTATATATCATGTTAAAATCAAGAATAGACTTGGACCATTATAGAAAATTTGGTAAATATGTTACGTTTGTGATGAATTAATAGCAGAGACTGAGACTAGCTGTCACATGCTTTACTGTAGTGAATATTTCTCATGGTGGGTTCATTTTTTAACGCTAATTTATGTATAAACACAAACCTTAATGTCTTAAAGACCTTGATAATTTCCACCCTTTTTGGTCAGATAAAGATACGGTTAATTAAACACACATGATCCCTATAGCAAAGCAAGTTCTCAGACTGCCATTAAAGGGATAGTTCACCCAAAATTAAACTTCTGTCATCATTTGCTCAAGTTGTTTTTTGGGTGAACTATCCCTTTAAATAGCAGTAATAGGTTTTTCAGTAATACTTAAAGAGTAACACAATCCTGAAACGGAACACAATTCATACTTCACATTTACAACCCTGAATGAAGGTGAGAATGCGAATGCACTGCATGTGTTTCAGGGTTTGTATGGCATCGGTGATGAGGTGTACCTGAGCCTGCCGTGCGTGTTGAACAGCGCTGGAGTGGGCAGCGTGGTCAACATGAGCCTGACCAGCGACGAGATTTCACAGCTGAAGAAGAGCGCAGACATGCTGTGGCACATCCAGAAAGACCTGAAAGACCTGTAACGCTAACTTCGAATGTCACCGCTTCGAATGTGTGATTGCTGCTTCGACAAGACATCCATGAACGGTTCACTTATTTTTTTTTTAATATCCTAGTAGTGTTATGTTCTTGAAATCATCTTTCAAATGATTTATGGGTCTAAATTTATGTACGTACAGGAATAGTTCACTCAAAAATGCAATTTGCTGAATATGTGCTCACCCTCAGGCCATCCAAGATGTAGAAGAGTTTGTTTCTTCATCAGATTTGGAGAAATGTAGCATTGCATCACTCGCTCACCAATGGATGCTCTGCAGTGAATGGGTGCCGTCAGAATGAGAGTCCAAACAGCTGATAAAAACATCACAATAATCCACAAGTAATCTGGCGATTATAAGTCTTAATGATGGATTTGTTTCTTACAAACACAGCTTTTGGCTTTATAAGACGTTAACTGATGGACTGGAGTGGTGTGGATTACTTGTGGATTATTGTGATGTTTTTATCAGCTGTTTGGACTCTCATTCTGACGGCACCCATTCACTGCAGAGAATCCATTGCTGAGCAAGTGATGCAATGCTACATTTCTCCAAATCTGATGAAGAAACCAACTCATCTTAGATGGCCTGAGAGTGAGCACATGTTCAGAAAATTTTCACTTTTGGCTGAACGGTTTCTTTAAAATAATTATAGAAACCCATGATTGTCAAATTAGCACTTTGTGTGAAAACAGATCTTGGTGTCTGATGGTGAAATATAGCAAATATTATACAATAGAAAATCAAAAGTTTGGACACACTTGAACGAAATGATGATTTGTGATATTAAAAACCTTTCGATCAAAAAATAGAAATTGTGCCAACATATAAATTATCTTGCAAAACAAAAATTTTTTGATTAAAAAAATAAATGCATTGGAGCAGATTGGTAAGGAAAAGCATCATCAAACATTGCACTTATATTACATGTTCAAGTGTTTTAAAGCATCCCATGGTGCACCTCATGAAAGTCCAGAATGGTCATAGTTGGAATCTAGACAAAGAAATTTGTCATTTGCGTCCAAACGTTTGATTGACACTGTTACACTTCCAACTGACTGTTGGTTACAGGAACTAGTCAATGTACTCACTAAATGTTGAATGAAAGTGCAAAGTATAAACCACATGCTAGCAATATATCAAATTGTTGTGTAATATTTGCACTGAGCGCTTATACATGACTTTAAATGACCGTAAAGGATATAATCCATTTATTAAACAGGATCTTTGTCTGTAAAAAATTTACATTAGTCTCACATTTGAAGTATTTACAAATACTTAAACAAGTCAGTCATGTATTATAACAGCATGTCACATAGGTTGCTGAATTTTCCTCGCGAGCACGAAGAGATGAAAGTCTCCGCTCCTCTAGGTGGAGCTCATGTGGAAAAAGTCCAAATTTGATTTTGATGAATAAAAAGAGAGCAAAACACAACGGTTGGCACATAAAAGCGCAATAAAAAAACAGTAACGACTTTGTTCAGAGCCCAGTGGTTCCTTTCAGTTGTGGTTCGTTCAATGGAACTTCATCGTCCGCCCATCTTGTGGTCATTTAGGGGTTCAGTGGTCCCTGTCGCCCCCCGGAGGGAGACGTGTGATGCAGTAACAAAAACAGCGCCTGACTTGGTTTGGTAATCAGTCCCAGAAAAAAACACCTGAACTTCTTCACAGGTAAAGTATCAAAAATCTCATCTGTCGTTCAGAAATGTTGTCCAGCAAGACGCCGAACCAGAAGCACTATTATGACAAATATAAATATGAGCCACTCATAGAAAACTAAAAGAAAGTACTAAACTGTCGACCGTTATACCATGGTGTTGCTCTCGCTGACTTTATCCACTAACTAAAAGAGAAACAGAACAACATTATTGTAGTCATGTGACAGGACTCTAAATGTCACCTACGCAAGCAAAAAATACCAAGCTAGTGACAAAATAGTCAGCAAACTGTGGTTAACTTACCCCACTGATACCAGGAAGATTCAGTAAAGATCCAAGAATAGGCACCCGCCTAATGAAGCCAACCGCTACTGGGAAAAAGCCCCTGAAAACAGATGGATACCAAATTAAAATCAAGTAATATTAAAGGGGTCATCGGATGCCCATTTTCCACAAGTTGATATGATTCTTTAGGGTCTTAATGAAAAGTCTGTAACATAGTTTGGTTAAAATTTCTCAATGGTAGTGTAAAAAACACCTTTTTTACCCTGTCAAAAACAGCTCAAAAAGAGCACACAGTTTTGTAGCATTTTCCTTTAAATGTTAATGAGCTCTGCTGACCCCGCCCCTCTCTTCCGAGCTGCTCTCAGAGAGACTGTTTACTTTAGCCGCATTCATCGTGAAACTTGCTAATTAGCACATTATTAGGAAAGGCGATTTGCCTTTACACATCAGTGTAAATGTCAAAGATTCATTAAAAAACCTTACACTCACTTCTTCTGTAGGTGAAGCTCATTGGAAGAAATCGGAAGTACAGAGTTATGTTGCGCTGTGTGAACTGACGTTACTGTTACTAGACTAAATGTGAATGAACACAAAAAACAGATTTAGTATTAATCAAAATGAATTAAAACAGTGAAATGCAAACTCGTGTGACGTCACACAGACAGGCATCTGAGATCGGCTCGATTTGAGAAAGGGGTAAACATTTAACGAGATAAATTTAAAAAAACCACTGGGTGGATTTTTTAATCATTGTAGGGTGGTTGTGTACACACACTGCCAACACACATTTCAGTTCAAACAACTTGTAAAAGTGCATGTAGCATCATATGAACCCTTTACAGCTTCACTATGTAAGTCTTGTCCCTCTAGTGGTTGAAGTGAAGAACTGCAAGTTACTTGCGAAGGAACATTGTTTTGGTTAATACGAGAGTTGTGTTTTGGCTCCGCTATTTTCAGTAAATGTGCGAGATTTCCATTTTATTAGCTGCTAGGTAAATAACTAGAAGAATAACAAAGTGCATGAAACGGTAAGTCTATTTGCGCTACAAACCAGTGTGTTTATCATTATGATAATACATTAGAATTATTGAACAAATACCAGTTTGCAATATCAAACAGCTTAACACTGTTTTGTACAGCGAAAATAACTGGATGCGAATGACACCGGAAGTCTCGCACATTCAAGTTACAAATACGCTACAAATAAGGTGGATACCTGAAGAATCGAATGGCCTAATCAGTCCGAGTGTTACTAACGACATCAAAACTCTACCAATAACGAAAGACAGATATCTGAAAAACATGTCTTATATGAGCAGGCAGGTAGTTTATATGTGGTTGTTACTTTGACTTGTTGAAATCAATTGTTTTAAAATAGCGTTTAAAAAGTTTTGCAGTTATGCTGATACTAGTCAATGATTGCAACTCATATCAAATAACAGCAGAAACTATAACTTGACATGGTTATTTATAGGGAAATAGTCCAGTTGCTGGTTTAGAGATTACCAGCATACACACTGTTTTGTGAACCGAACTCAAGTCACAGAAAATATGATGATATGCAAACTATGTTGATTCGTGTTTTATTACGGGTGCTTCACTTTCCGTTTTTGCTTGCAAACCCTTCGCTTCCAGGTTCATTTGTTGTGGTTTCAAGCTACTTGTGGATATGGCACAATTAATTTTGGGGGAAAAGTTGCATATTGTAGCTTTAAGCAAAATAAACCCCTTTATGGTAATGCAAAACCACCCTAAACATCTTGCCAAGGTTTATTTTGTGATAAAACAAAACAACTCACCGGAAAAGGAGAAAAAATCCATAGACTTCGAGGACGACGCCTACAATCGGCCATCCGATGAGCACCACGAAAACACCTCCCAGAAAGAAACCGGTGGCTTTCATTTTATGCCGCTGGAAGAAGAACTTGAATGTCCGTTCCAGTCCGATAACAAATGAGAGACCTGCGACAAACAAGATCTGCAAACACAAAAACACATTCAGATTCAGTTTAAGCAGCATTTTAATTTCCTAACACAAATCTGAGCGTTCACGGTATATTTGATTCCATTCAAACAACTGTGTTTCTGTGTTAAAGCAAACACTCACATTTCCAATGGCCAAGAGCGCTTTATCAAAGAAAAGAATCATTCCGAAGAAGAGGAAAAACACGCCGAAGCCCGTCAGCCCCATCCCGATCTCTGTTAAAAAACACAACAACAGCCTTTATCAGTGCTGCATTACAAACACATGCATGCAAATAAGTCATATTTAAGGAGTTGTGGAAATTAGGATTAAGTACTTAAGTGTAAGTAATAATGTCGCATTGACGTACAACTTGTTTTAGGCTTTTTCTTCTTTCTAATGATTTGGAAAATATTTTTAAAAATCTGTCCCGTATGATTAGCATATTCCATGGTATTTGCATAGTACTCCACAGCACTTCAGAGAATATCATGATATTTCATAGACAGATAGATAGATAGACATTCAACATTAGATAGATAGATAGATAGATAGATAGACAGACATTCATAATTAGATAGACATTCAACATTAG